TATATTATGGGTTGTGAGGTGACACTTTTGTAAAGGTTGAAAAAAACAAATTTTATGTACATTTTCATTTATAACAAAAGAAAAATGTCCCTTTAGCTCTGGTAAATATGGCAGTTGTTCAGTTAGAAGAGCATCACTTACATTTAAACAGTTAATTTTAGCATTGATTTCAAGTAATATTAACTTTATAATTATTCTTGACTGTTCCACAAAAAGCAAACAAATGACACAGATTATTCATGCACTTAGATAAGACTTTTTTGGATGTTAATCATGTACATATAAACTTTCTCATAAAACCTCCTCCTGTGTATCCATTTACACTCTCAAATCTAATTATAACCCATTGTCATTTTAAAGATCAAGCCCCAACTGTTTCATGATGTGCTTTCTTTCTAATTAAGCATTTGAGACCAAAGGGACTCAGGCTAGGGCTATAGCATCTCAATTTTCATAAACTGACATTTACAGTTAAAATATTCTCGATTATTTCCCTAACAGCTTTGATGTGAAGGCAAAAAAACAAAACAAAAAAAAACACTGAGCTGTGTATATTCCCTCCTCATACTCTAGGGTCAACAATCATAGTTCGTAGCTGCTGATCTTTGAATCGGAGTTTCGGCTACATTGCTAGCAATAACCTAAATCAATATAGCATAAAGACACAAGCCAGTATATGGTGAGTGATGAAAAATAGATTAGTAGAGGTATCAATTGAACATGATACAGAAGAGCCATATTATCTGGAGATAAAAATAATATCTTATAACATTCCTGGCCATGAATAGTTTTAACTATTACACACAAGCAAGTAAGCAGAAAATTATGAATAAAGATGATCCTTGCTTTTGTTCTACTGCTACACCCTCTGCTAATACATTACAACAGAATGACTATTTAGTTAAGCATGGTGAGAAGATAGCCGTAATTACTTACTATGTTTGGTGACATTGTGGCATTTTAATAAAACACAATATATCCATCTTAGTAAAGAAGAACTGGCCATCTTTTTGAATCTCTAGAGATCAACAAAAGTGCTCTTGAATGACTATGATGGGTGTTAAAACCACCTATGAAAATGCTTTGCAAATAATTCCTCAGGTAGCTTGCCCAAACTCTGAAAGGCTATGTCTCAAAATTCTCAATGGGGGAAAGAAAGTACTTCACACTTGTAATCATTTTCTCATTATAAATATACTTTCTGAAAAAAGTACAGTGAGAATGCTTACAGTATTTAGAAACTGATTTAAAAGCCAATTATCATTGAAAACTAGCAAGATCTTTTTTTGGAGCATATTTATATCATAAATCAGTATCAAATCCTAAAAAAAGAAGTCTTAAATGCCTAAGAGTTCTCATCACAATATATACATGCAAATAAGAAAGTTTGTCAAAATTGCTAATATTAAACATGCTTCTATTATGGTCTCGCTTTAAACAAGAACCTTAGAAATTCCCAAAATGCATTAAATGGAAAGAACGGTACGATGATGAGAATGTAATCCCTCATGGGTTCCCCACACTCCGCTTCTTGGAAATAAGTAAAATGTGAACTTTGTTTATTTATCCTAATTATTATTCTATGTCCCCATACTCACAAAGGACAACATTCTGTCAGGCATTTAACCCTCTCCACAAAGAGAACTCCTGTATCTATAGTTTCAAAAATAATAAAACTATGCTAATAGAAATTACACTTGTATTTTTGTTTTGTGAACATTTGTAAATGAGAAATCTCTGATTAGTAGAAAGAAAAGGTTAGTAATTTTTAATTTTCAAAATGATCAGTCATTTACTATTCATATCTTATATGAACTATATAATATCCATGCTGTCACCAAATGCAAGGCAGAAAAAAGAAATCCTATCAGGTGTCATTCAGTGGGGAGAAAATATCCCTAGGAGATTTTTTTTTTCTCCTTGAGTGTGTCAGTTTTGCACAACATGTATTTTATAATTCTTCATTTATATTCAGCAACAATGGTCTCTCTGGCTTTCAGACAGTACCCAGTTTGTGATATTTCAAAGAGTTTTGTTGTTGCTATTTTATAATTTAAAGTGGGTAGTTCTCACTTCATTCAAAAGAAGTGAGAAAAGAAACAAGAGAAGAAACAAAAGAAATAAAGAGAATAAAAATAACCATTTATTTATTGGCTTCTTTAATTATTCAACAAATGTGTCCTGGGATAGCAGTCCCTAACCTTTTTGGCACCAAGGACTAGTTTCATGGAAGACAATTTTTCCATGGACCAAAGAGGTGAGGGGGGATGGTTTGAGGATGATTCAAGTGCATTACATTTATTATGCACTTTATTTCTATTATTATTACATTGTAACATATAATGAAATAATTACATGATTCGCTATAATGCAGAATCAGTGGGAACCCTGAGCTTGTTCTCCTGCAACTAATGCTGCCACTGATCTGACAGGAGGTGATGCAAGCGATGGGGAGTGGATAAAGATGGGATACAGATGAAGCTTTGCTCACGTGTCCACTGCTCACCTCTTGCTGGGTGGCCCGGTTCCGAAGAGGCCAGAGACTGGTGCCGGTATGCAGTTCGGTGGTTGGGGACCACAGCCCTAGCAGACTACTAAGTCAGGCTTGGGGTTAGATGTGGGAATACTAAATGGAATAAGTTGATTTCTGTCATCAAGGATCTTATATTCCAGTAGAGACCATTAAACAAACATACAGTGTTAAGATATACTTATAACTCCAAGTAGTGGAACTGACACAGGAACCCTGAGGATATGAAATTGAACTATATTCTTATAATTAATAAATATCTATAACATAACAGAGAATAAAACATTTGGCAAGCCCATCAAAAATACTTTTTCTGTTTTTATGACACAAATATGAAATGATAAGAGTAAAAATCAATCATAATATTTTTGAAAATTAGGTACTATAATGCTTATGTTCTGAAAATATTCATGCAATTGAGCTTATATTTCAGGTTGGTGTGGGTGCAGTCAAATTGCAACTATACTAATTTAAGGGACCCAATTTGCATAAATGATTCAAAAGCTTTGAATAATTCTTATACCAAAAGATTGTTAGAGTTTCAAGGATCAAAACTGAGACTGACAAATACATACTCAGTAGCTAAAATAAGTATATTCAGTATTTTAACTGAATCATTGGCGTCCACCTTTCATCTGCTGAAAAGCCAGCATCAAATATTAAATGTTGAAAATTACCACTGAGAATGCAAAACTAAAAATTTCTTCCAAATAAATTTGAAATTTAAGCCTGGTAAATTTCTGCAAAAGAGCTTCAGAATGTCGATAAAAGGCCTTCTCTCTAGATAAATACTTTAGATAAGTAATTTATCTTCTTTATAGAACAGACAACAGACCAAGACAACTTCTCTCACACTGGTGGATGTGCCCTGAATGTCAAGCCAGGCAGCACATAGGTGCAAAAAGAGAAGTAAGGATTTTGCTCTCTATGTGAAGACTTTGACGTCTGTTTTACACAGGTGAACAGTTGTGCTACTTTCAGTTTCTCATCATTAATGCCATTAAACTTAACACGACCTTAATTCTGTGCTAATGAAAATTTGATAGAAATGTATGTTAAAATATGGTGTTTTCTTATACTCATGCAGTACAGTGTATTATAATTTCTTTTTGAAATTGTCTTTTCTATAAAATTATTAGTTTCTTGAGAGTAAACACTAGTTATCTCAATGCCAAGTATGTAGTTGGTGCTCAAAACATATCTTTTGTATGAAATTAAATACATATTCCTATGTTCAAAGTACTTTGTACCTGTGACAGTTTACTTAAAAAACAGACAAATTGACAATTTCACATTCCCATCTATTGGTGCGTTCAAGGCTATGGAATTTTTTCTCTCATGTTTCCCAAGATGCAATAAATCAGTTTCCAAGACATTTTAACATATTTAAGAAAAGGAGCTTCAGAGTTAAAGGTCAGTGCTTTCATGTTAACATTACTATTTTTCAAAACCTTATAGTCACAGTAAATTTTATAAGGCTTGTCACTATCAAAGCTGAAAAATATTTTGACTGCCATTTACCTTTTACTAAATAAATAACATTAACAGAAATGCTACTTATATTAGCAATAGAAAATAGACTTCTAAAGTACTTATCAGATTCAGGATTGTTGTTGCCGTTTCCTATTTCCTTACTCTTCCAAAATGGTTCAATACTTTTATTATAGTTTTCTAGAATCTATCAGATACCAACTTATAGTGAGCCCACTCAAAGCAAAAATCTAAATATTCATCATCAACTCTAAACAGAATAAGTAATTAAGATTTGTAAAACACTCAAGATATTTATAGAAAGTATTTTTATATAGGTACTATTACAACTATATGCTGTTTTAATACATCAAGATAATGTCATTATGAAAAATTTACATCACTTCTGCTATAATAGCATTTTAATTGAAAATCACCTATCTTGAAAGATAATTTGGGATATGTCAAAAGAGGTAAAGTTCTGTAAGATGAAAGAATCTATTAGATATGTTCTAAAAGCAATGTTAAGATTTTAGTTTACTAAAATGAACATATTCAATATGTTTTATGTCATATGTTAACTTGGGATTGCCTACTAAAATAGTCATATATGAATAAAATAAAAAATATATAATTTTAAAACATCCAGACTAAGCTAAATATACACTATCCTAAATAAAGAATCCAAATGATAGTGATACCAAATGTAGATAATTCTTTCCACGTATGTTTATCGTTGATGGGTAAATAGGCAAAAAGTAAACCTTGAATGCTAGTAAAATAAAAAGCACATTCCTAATTGTCTAGGATCAATAATAATTATTTGAAATATGCTCTGTATTTATGGTTGCAATAGGCAAGAGAAGATTAAATACATGAGAGTGAATTGAGTGAAACTCACATGGACCACCTTTGTTGTCTTGGGAATTAGGTCATTTATGAGTGTTAAAGTTATTTTTCTCACTACAGTTGAGGGTATTAATCAATGCTTCCTACTTACAGGAGTGTCTGCATCTTCAGCATAAACTGTTGTGATTGGTGTACCCTTGACCGCGTCTGGAGCCACCATCCCTTTGTAGATTCGTTTACTGAAAACAGGAGGATAATCATTCATATCCTGTAAAACACAATTAAGAGTTTAGTGGTTCAGTCCAAACCGGGTTAGGGACACAGTTACTAGAGTGACTCTCACTCTTCATATCACACAGCCCATTTGCCACTGTCAGCCTTCCATGCTCTCAATTCCATTACTCTCACTTCAGACTGGCACCCCAGAGGAAATTGCCAGAGTTCCCATATGATATTAATGTATGTGATCTCAACCGCATGGGAATAAACAGTCTGTCACCCTCAAAAATACACTTTTTGGAGACTAAGGTAACACTTGAAATTTTCTCTAAGATATTCCTAATGGTATAATGTAAAATTTTAACCTTTGAAGCACAAATTAGAACAAATTTCTTTAAAAGTGTCATCCTATGAGTAAGGAATAAAAGATGGTTTTAAAAATTTGTTTCATTGTTATTGCTTTTTAAGAAAGCTCTTTATACGTTTCCATAGCAACTACAAATTATTTTTTATACTTCACATAATGGTATTATTAGATCATTTTAAATACAAACTGTGAAATACCCTTTGATGCTATCTTACATTTTTTTTTCACAAATGTAAAATGATAAAAGGATGTTTTCCCTGTAGCACACAATAATGGCACTTAAGATTAGATGTACTTATAGAGAGAAAACAATGTTAGTTTACTTAAAAAATTTTTTTCAAAGCAACTTATGTGTATCTTATTTTCACAGTTTGGTGATATATATGCATTGTTACTCATGCAGTGTCACCTATTAAATAAATATTTATCAAATGCTTCTTATTTTTATGACCCAGTGCTAGCTAGGCATTGGGGATACTGTGGTGACTCAAGAAAAAGATGTCCCCGTCTTTGAGTCATTTAGCTACCATTTGTCAGGTAAAGATACTGATGCACAGATAGGTTAGTGACTTGATCTAAATTTATCTACTTATTTGGCAAAGCCACTATAATAAAGCCAGTCCACAGAAAACAAAAAAAAGCATCTTTTTTTGAACCAATTGCATATTATTTTTCACAATTAATCATGAATATTAACATGGCTGATTTTTTAAAAAATAATTGTTACACCCTGCAGTGTTTTGGGTACTTTGGGTCAAACATATTTGGGCCCAAAGCTAAATTTGTTAATTATCTACTCTTCCTCTCCAAATCACCTTTTTCTCATTTGCCATTAAAAACAAAATAAAATTATTCTACATAGTGTTTGATATTTGTTCAGACACAATTTTCTAGCACAATGTAAGTTGGAAACTAATAAATTAAACTGATTGTAAACTTCTGTTTTTGCAAAGAGGTCAGGATAATTATCTCATACAATCAAATAGTGCTTCCTTTTATGTTCACAGTTGAGTTGACTTCTGAGTAGTAAATATGAATAAACCTGTACATTCTAATAAGAAATAGAAGGGCTTGAACTATAAGCAAAACTGAAAAAGAAAAGATATCACTTCCTCTGTTTTGACCTACAGTATTTATGACCTTTCTATCAAAAAGATTTCCTTTATAATTATGAACTTTAGAATCTGAATGAGTAAATTAATGTAGGAAGCACTGGTTCTCTGTAATGAGAGCTGTGTGGGCTATTGATCTTGAGGTTCTAAGCAGGGGGTAAATATATTAACATAAAACACTTCCTGCTCACTTTCTCATGCTCTTTTCAAGAGTGCCAATTAACTTAATGAGTGGATCTTGTAACTAAAGGAGTAGAAATTCTCTTGCACCCCTAAATTCTAACTTCTGAAGCTTAGAAAAGAAGGACCCCAAGATTGCAATTTTTCCATAGAAGAGTTTGCAAAGCTCAATAAGCTCAATATGTTCCTTTGAATTTTCCTGTCTTTTTTCCCAAGGGGAAATTTGAAATCTTATCGTCACAAAGTACTTTCTGAAAAATTTGATTCTTCAGAAACAAAAAATATATATTTTTACAATTATGCTAATCCAGCTGGTTACAGCATTGTGTACAGTGGTCTTCTTTTCTGGGAAATTATTCCCTAGCATCACCTTCTAACTGAATACATAATAGATGTTTTTATAATCTGGCTTCAAAACTGATTAGACATAAACATAAGGCTGTAAATAACTGAAGACTATGAAAAGATTTGTTCTTATCCCTTTTTATATTCTATTGACAGAATGAAGGATGAATTAATACAGTTATTATAGCATTATTTCTTTTTTATGACAAATTGTACATATTTGGAGGTTACAATCTTTTATTGTGGCTAAAATGTGCAGCCAGTTGCATATAGTTCTTCCACAATGCGTTATTTCAAGAGAAGAAAATTTATTGAAATGCAATGCCAACAAGCATAATCAATAGTTCATTATATTTATGCTTCAGGGACATCAAAGAAAAATGTATGTAAATCTGCTTCTGTACAAATATTCTATTCTGCAATAAATTAAGGATGAGCTCAGCTCTCCAAAACCAAACCCTTTCCATTGGCTCTTATTCCACTAGAGGGTAGTATTGGCAAAAAGAAACATTGCCTCTTCTATCCACTATTTAACAATTTTATTATTAAAACCTGTAACAGTTTGTTTCCTGTGGTTATAATTTTTGTGGGCCTGAACAAAAATTAGTTTTCATATTTCAAAAAGGTATTATGAATATTATCATGGTTCTCAATAGAACAACACCATGCTTTTCTTTTAAAAAAATGTACAAGCAAAGGTTGCAATTTGTTTCTATATATCAAGCAAATAAAATTGTACCTGAAAATATAAGTAGCTAGCAGGAAGAAAATATGGGTTTTATTTATTTATTTCCTAAATTAAAGCTTAAAATAATCACAAAAACAATTTCTATTTTGGCAGACTACAAAGTAGATTTAAGGAAACTTTTTAATGAGCAGGTCAAGAAAGACAGGAAGTTGCTGGTAAGTTTTCAAATTAATGACAAGTTGAAGTTCTGCAAAAACATACAGAAGGTGATAAAAACTCGTATTTTCTGGAATCCCAGGTAGAAACTGTTCTGCCTTAGGACAGTTTTCTATTTGGAAGGTAAATAGAAAGTGCTAAGCAGTTATAGTTTGATCATCTATTAAAAATGATAAAAATAATAGCAAATGTCAGTCCTTATCATCCTGAGAACATGTCTGCTGTATGAGGAGACATAGATCGTATAAGCCAGAGGGTGGAATGACTTCAGTTGTTTCTGTAGTACTGTCTAGAGTTAGCATTATTCATGTTGAACTGTTTGACTGGCCAGTCCTTCATAAGCCCTTGAGGCTTATGGAGCTGATACCTACTCTTCCTTGATAAACTGTACAGTTGACACTTCTGCCTGTTACCAGTTCTGTTTTCTACTACCAGACACCCTGTATCTGCTGTTTCTCATATTGTTAGCCTTCTGCTGTTTTTTCCCTCTTGGTTTCTCCACTTGTCTTCCTCTCTTTTCTGACTTTTCTCCCTCCTCTTGTGCTTCAGCACATAGAGTAAAAAAGGGCCACATCTCTGGCTAAACAAGTATTTTTGTTTTGCATGGAGATTTCTTAAATACAAATCATCAACTTTTCTTAACTTTTTCTTTTTAAATCAAAACCGGCACTGGAAGCTTCTTTTTAGCTGCCTAAATTTGTTTTGATTTTTTATTTCCTTTTTATTTCTGAGTTTGGAGCTATTCTAGAGCCTTGGGGGTAGTATATCTCCAATGTAGACATAATGGAAGTTACGCCTTGCCCCAAAGAGCAAAGTGTACCTAACCTCTCAGTCTCACACATATCCATGGAGCTCTTGCTGTGCATCAGGCAGTACCTCAGATACTGGTGATGTGGTTACAACCAAGAAAGGCATGGTGCCTGCTGGTACTGAGCTTACAGTTTAGTGTGGAAAGCAAAAATTTCAGAAATAATTTCAAGTATGATCAATATTATGAAAAAAGAAGTATAACGATATGGTGGGAGTTTATAGTAAGAAATTTAACTAAATTTAACATGGGATGTATGGCAGTAACCTGAGCAACTGACCCAATCACTCATGCACTCCGACATGTTAAATAGTTCTCCAAAGCAGATAGATAAATTAGACGACAACACTGTGCAATGCTGACAAACATAATGATTTAATACAGAATTCCATTGCACAGGTGGTTTCCCTGTGTTGGAATGATAATGTGGGAGAAAGGATTTGATAAATGTTGGGGCTTTTTTCTGAACTATGACACTATACCACTATGGTCAATTGGGAGAATATGTACTTATTCTGAGCACAATCTTTGAGCAGATTCTATCTAATATTACCCTATTTCAGATTTTCCCAAAGCAACTATTACTTGTGTGTGCGTTTGTGCATGTGTGCGGGAGGCATTTTTACTGTATGTCAAGCATTATATAACAATTAATGTTGTGTAACATTGTATAACAATAATTTAATAACACATTAAACATATATCAATGTGCGTGAAATACGTGTTAGCTATTATTTTTATTATTTGTTATTGTAAATATAAGGAAGCTTAGAGACATTAAGTTGCTCATGATTAGCTAATAAAGTATAAAAATATGATTTAAGTCTGTTATGTCAGATTTTAAAAAGGCAGGGATCTGATATGTGGAGGTGAGAAGAAAGGGAACTGGAAAAATCATCAGATGATTCTACATATAATAACTTGAGTAGTATTTTCATTTAAAAAATCGACAGACAACTTTGCAAATATCTCTTTCCAAAGTGCTTTTACATTTTTAAAATATAGCCCATACTTTCTATAATTTCATCTTGGAAAACTGATGAGCTTTTAAATGTTGCATGGTGTAATTTTTTTTTCCTGAAAATAATTTTTACAGTTACTTACAAAGCTTTTTTTGGTAAAAATAGAAAGTTGTAAAAGTTGCATTTGCACACTTACAACAACTTCCTATTCAATATTTAACCCTACAAATAGTTATTTTCACTAAAATCTAAGAAAGTGTTTTTCTAAATAGCATTCTTTGGAAAACTAGTCCTATTAGAGGCTTTGCAACCAAAAGGAACCTCATAAACAAATATTATTAAGAAATGCAGAAAATTAGATTTTCTTTTCT